TGTGAGCATTTCTGTTGAGGATTGGCAGCGGGGGTGGGGTGGGGGGTGTTTGGTTTTTATTCCCCCCATCTGCTGGGTGGTTGCAGCAGGTTTTGGTCATTTCACATGACCCTGGGACACTGTGACCATCATAAATATGAATCAGTTGCCAAGCATCTGAATGTAAATCACAAGACCCTGGAGATGCTGCAACATTCCAGCTGATTGGCGCTTCTCCTGGGCTCAGCAGAAGCACCAGGATCAGCGCTGAGCTCCAGCTGGAGCCTGGAGCCCTGACAGCCCTGCAGCTCCAGCCATCTCTCGCTCTGGCTTGTGTGGTGCTGCCACCAGTTCAGCTCATTCCCCTCCCCCGCTACCACTTTTCTAGGATGGTCGCGTACCACCTGCCAGGTGCCAATGTACCACAGGTGGTACCCGTACCACTCGTTGAAAAGCCCTGGACTAGAACACGTCCAAGGTCCCTTCCAGCCCTGTTTTTACTCTGTTATTCTGAGCTACAAAAGTTCTGTTCTCTCCGTTTCTTGGGTCCATCAGGTTGAGGGTGTTGCAGAATTCCAGACTCTCTTTGTGGCTGTGCAGACTGATAGGGTCTGGCCCAGAGGCCAATTTAGCTTTGGCAGGGAGAAAGAGGGAGCTCTATATAAATGCATTACTGTCTCCTTGCATTTATACTGAAGCTGCCCAGCTGAGCAGATCCTAGCAAAAACACAAAGACATAAAGAGTTTTGTTGGTAGGTGCCTTGGAAGGATTTGGCCATCTGGAACAAAGCTTGCTCGGAGTCTGGCAGTTCGTCTACAGGTTGGATTAAACTGGAATATGAAAGCCGTACTCCTTCTGCAATCATTAGGAAGATATAAAATGGCTTGTTTTACGGGGAAACCAAAACCAAAAAGGTTTCAGGGATGTTATTGTTTTGTAAGCCTCCCAGAGTCACCTTGGAGAGAGAGAGATGGGTAGCATATAAATTTAGTAAATAAATAAAAACATTTAAAAATTTGGCTCTCACTCTGTTCCTTCCTAAACGCCCTTAATTTTTACCATGTAGAATAAAAAGTGATAAAAAGTATGTTGATGAATTACTCACAAAGGTTGAAAGGTATCTTTTTATCTTTAATAAAAACTAGTCGCAACACCTGAAAATGTGTGTGCAGGTATGTATGATGGCTGATGTCTATCTATCTATCTGTCTGTCTGTCTGTCTGTCTGTCTGTCTGTCTGTCTGTCTGTCTGTCTGTCTGTCTGTCTGTCTGTCTGTCTGTCTGTCTGTCTATCTATCTATCTATCTATCTATCTATCTATCTATCTATTATCATCTGCCTGTCTACCTACCTCCCTATCTCTCTCTAATATCATCTGCCTGCCTGCCTGCCTGCCTGCCTGCCTGCCTGTCTAATCTATCTATCTATCTATCTATCTATCTATCTATCTATCTATCTATCTATCTATCTATCTATCTATCTATCTATCTATCTATCTATCTATCTATCTATCTACCTACCTACCTACCTACCTACCTACCTATCCATCCATCCATCCATCCATCCATCCATATAATCTAATATCATCTGCCTGCCCGCCCGCCCATGCGCCCACCTACCTACCTACCTACCTACCTACCTACCTACCTACCTACCTACCTACCTATCTATCTATCTATCTATCTATCTATCATATGCCTGTCTAGTTCTATATCTTTCCCTCTTATTCAACAAACACTCTTGTATTTTTACTTGCATTACTATATTATGGCTTTTATTTATTATGTGCTAACTGCTATGGTGAAGCTCCAAACAATGGGAGGGCAACTTTCCTTGCCTTCCTTTGCCCAAACGCTGCCCCCCCTTAGAACCCCGCTCTCTTTTCCAGAGGGGGTGTTTCTTCTCAGAGATGCTATTTGGGGTCAAACGTGGACACCCGTTTAGCATCGGGGGAAAGACTTTTATTTGTCCAGGAAAATATGAAAGAGGGAGTGCCAAATGCCATAGAAATTATTCCATTAGAGCCCCCGGGTCCTTTGACAATCCTGCTTGCCTGTTGTGCATGTGAGAACACAAGCAGGCTTGGGCGTCAGACACACTGCCCTCCCACCCCAATTTCAAACTCCCTCTTGCGTGTTGATGACAACGGACTGCAAAACTCCCTTTCCTAGGAATTTGTACAAAAGGGCCGCTGCTTCTCCCTGGAGGGCCCAGAGTGGCCCATCTTGAAAACCAAGTCCTTATTGGTCCACATCTTCACGCTCATCACCCCTCCAGGGCGACTTCCGACCTGTTCAGGGTCCCCCGGCGGGAGAAAACCGGACGGCGGAGGGAGTGATCACTCCGCACATCCGCCAGCACCGTGATCGCAAACCGGAAGCCAGCCCCATCTGGTTTTCCTTCTTGTCCCCTTGGTGCCTCCTTGCCCACCGTCCCCCATTGGTCTGGTTCCAATACTTTCCTTGAACCCGCAAATAGCACAGGTCCCAGAGAGAGAGCCCCATCGTGCTGCCCCCACAGCAATTGAACCTCCAAGATGCCCAGATATCTCCCTTGGCATATTTTAGCTCATCCTCTGCACGTCACATGACACAACAGCAGCAGCAGTAGCATCTGCCCCGGATGGCTTTTGATGTGGAGAATAATTAACACCGTCAGGATGTTACATTTTTAATGCCGGGTGTTTGCTTTCTGTAATTTGCCCAGGGCTCCCATTAGTAAACCTGGGGCTGGAGAATTCCCTTTCTGTCTCCTGCTGCATTTGCATCAAGAACGCAAACACCATCTGTCAAGCTGCGTTCGCCTTTATCGTGGTGACACCACAGCCCAGGATCCAGCAAGAGGCCTTACACAAACTCCCTGCCAGCCACAAAGTCACACTTGCAAACCCTTCCCAAACGTCCCAAACACAACGCCCGAAGTCGTGGGTGCTCTATCGCTGGAGGTTTTAAAGAAGAAATTGGACAGCCATTTGTCTGGAATGGTATAGGGCAGGGGTCCCCAACCCCCGGTCTGTGGACTAGTATCGGGCCGTGGCATGCCAGCAACCGGTCCGCACAAACAAGCAAAGCCCCATCTGTGGGATGCAGGCAGTACACAAAACCACGCACCCTCCAGTCTGTGGAAAAACCCCTCTCCACGGAACTGGTCCCTGGTGCCCAAAAGGTTGGGGACCTCTGGTGTAGGGTCTCCTGCACGAGCAGGAGGTTAGACTAGAAGACTTCCAAGGTCTCTTCCCACTGTCATTCTGTAATGGGTCCTTGATAGACCCTTGGCCTGATAACTTCTTGGAAACCTGTCCCTGATCCCCCTTTTCTGGGCTCTGCTGGTGGTGTCAACTGGCTCATATTTATGACGGTTGCAGAATCCTGGAGCCCCCAGAGAATTGTTGGGCTCAATTGCAGTCGTAAGTTGAGGACTACCTGTATCCAGCCCCTGGCCATTTCAGCTCAGTGCCTCCCCCACCCCCACCCCAGACCCCCTGCATCCCAAGGTGTCATTAAGTGAGCCATTTCCCCGGGACAGAGATGGGACTTCAGCAGACCTGTGCAGGCGCGAATCTTCCTCGCAATTGTTGGCTAATTGCTGGTGAAGGGCAGATCTAAAAAGCACGTCCCCTCTTTGCCACTTGGCTGGTAGGTTGGTATGGTTTTTTTTGGAGGCGTTGTGAGGCAGGGAGCTTCCCACTGGTGAAATCAGAAGGGAATGGGCTGGAAGGGGGTTGCTCATCCCAGCCCCCTCTAAAAGGATCTCAAAATAACAGAATAAGAGAGGTGGAAGGGATCTTGGAGGTCTTCAAGTCCAGCCCCCTGCTCAAGCAGGAGATCCTACACCAGCGGTAGGCAATCTTGGCTCTTTTATGCCTCGTGGACTTCAACTCCCAGAATTCCTGAGCCAGCATGGCTCAGCTTGGAAACCTCTCCCTGTCCCCTCAGCATGGCTGGCTCAGGAATTCTGGGAGTTGAAGTCCACGAGTCATAAAAGAGCCAAGGTTGCCTACCCCTGGCCTATACCATTCCGGACAAATGGCTGTCCAGTCTCTTCTTGAAAAACCTCCAGTGATGGAGCAGCCACAACGTCTGAAGTTTATGATTCACATAATAACAGAGTTTGGAAGGGACCTTGGAGGTCTTCTAGTCCAACCCCCTGCTCTAGCATGAGACCCTATACCTTTTGACACAAGTGGTGGCCCAGTCTCTTTTTAAAAACCTCCAGTGTTGGCGCACCCACCACTTCTGAAGGCAAGCTGTTCCGCTGGTTTATTGTTCTGACTGCCAGGAAATTTCTCCTTAGTTCCAGGTTGCTTCTCTTCTTGATTAATTTCCATTTGTTGCTTCTTGTTCTGCCTCTCGTTGCTTTGGAAAATAAATTGACCCCCCTTTATGGCAGCCTCTCAAATGTCGGAAGACTGCTGTCATGAAATGAATGAATTTCATATGAAATAAAGGAAGACTTCCAAGCCT